TATTTTTACATCCTTTTTCATTTTTGTACAATCTATTCTTAATTCTGCTTATCCAGCAGCTGGGATTTTTGCTATGTTATAATGGGTTTTGCCAAACTGGAACTAAACACAAATCTAGCTATTTCTTTTCAATATTTAATACAATTGAGTCAAAATGCAAAAACCCTTTTTTAAAAAATTAGGAAGCAATAGATTAGTCACCCCTGATCACTTACAATACTCCTTAATATGGGAATGAAACAAAGTATGAGAATTATTCATAGTAAATTGTAAGTACATACACAACACACATAAATAATATATGTAATTTGATAATTCAAAGTTAAGTTTTGGATTTTTTTAGGCTTTGTCAGACTCTTGTCATGTTAAATTGGCTGGGTCAGAATGGACATTTTTTTTTTTTTTTTTTTTACTTGTGGACTCGCTCTTGTTTATGCTGTGGAGGCTTCATTTTCTCTTATGTAACAATGTGCCAGTATTTTGGACAGTATCACTTCTCTAACACTTCCATGAAGGGAGTATAAAATTTTCTTGTCTTCATATATTATCTTAGTGGTATGCCAACAATATATCATAACTTTTTGAAGGTGCAGTTTTAGCAGCTAGATAAGTAGAAATATGGACTAAGCCCCCAGTGGGATATGTGAGTGACAGTGTGTGACGGGGAACCCCAACGTGCAGGTGAGCTGCAGTGGTAAGCCAGGAGGACTTCCCAGGCTGTCTATCATTGTATGTGATGTCGTTACAGGCCAAAGTGATGAAAAATCAAACTATTCAGGTACTTAGGCAAAAAGGTAATCTGTGTGTGCAAAGTTTTTAAAAAAATCAATTTATGTTCCTTCCTGTAGTGTGAAATTTTAGTGCTTGTTAAATAAAAAATGAATAAAGAACATAAAAGAAAAACAAACATTTCACATTTTTAAAATTTGCCCAACAGAATGCCAAAACATTTGCTGATGTAATTCTTTAAACTGTAAAGCATATAAACCTGTTTCCTTTAAGTATTATATGACTCCTGCTATGATTTAAAAAGAAAAGAGACATCAAATCATGGAACATTAAAATGACTTTGTTATGTGAGAATGAATTTCTGAAATATAAAGAGTAGCAATGGAAGTAGATCCAAATATGGGAAAAATAAAGCAAGCACAGAAAGATAAAAAATCAGAAGGGGTAGGTTTTAGTTCTTTTTTTTTTTCGATTTCATCAATAAATTATGAGCTGTATTGATCTCATCTCAACAAGGTCAATGTTTCGATCTATAGAATAAATGATAATATAATTAGCCTCACATATAAATTTCCCTCAGTTACATTCCTGTTTTACTATTGCCTTTGCTGTTTAGTGGAACAGCAAAGATGTTCTTTCAAGCTGCATGTTTAAAGTGCTTAGCATAGTGCTAGCAGGTCTTAGAACTGAGATGTATGCAGATTTTACAGTTACGAGTATGTCATATGGTTATTGATTTATAGTTTTATTCCATGTATTTATAGTACATATTCTGTATAATTTCTATCTTAAAAACTTTTGATTGTTTTTCTTCTATGTTGGAGGGATGGATGGTCCTATATATATCAATTAGTTCCTATTTGTTTCCTTTGTGGTTCTAATTTATATCAGTTTCCTGTGGCTACTGTAACAAATCACCACAAACTTGGTAGTATAAAGCAACAGAAGCCAGAAGAATCAAGGAATAGATCCCTCTAGACAGAGGAGCGCTCTACATACATTCTGACTTCAGATTCTGTTCCCCAGGACTGTGGAAGACTAAAATTCTCAAAATAAGTCCAAACTCTTTTCTTTCTTTCTTTTTTTAGAGGTAACAGTGGTTTAAACACTGTGTGTGATTCATTGGCCTACATTTATAATTGCACAAAGACAATTCAAGAAAAATAATTTGTTATTTTCCAATTAGAAATGCATTTATGACAGAGACACAAATACACCATTGAATTTACCCATTCATTAAATAAGGGAAAATATTCGCTGGTGAAAAGGAAGTTATTTACTGGAGCCTTTTCCTGGGCTGTTTTTCTGTAGTGTAGGAGAAGCAGTTTTTTCTCTTGAGGTCAGTTGATTCAGAGATTTCAAAAGATCAGCTAATGGCCATGTATAAATAAAGAAACTATTTCTGTTTCATATTTTTTTTAATAGAGGCATGTTTTATTTATTTATTTATTTGTTTGTTTGTTTGTTAATACATGCACTGGGTACAGTCAGAAGCGCGGGAGGGTGAGAGAATTCACCAGAGCCAGAGCAGGGAGCAGAGCAGGCAGAAGGACCGAAGTACACTGCTGAGGGGAGCAGCGGGCAGCAGGAGAGGTCTGCGCACCATGTGGGACCCTCCTCCGGTGGCCGGGGAGCAGCCGGGGATCGAACGGGAGCCGCAGAGGCCGCGGGCAGCTTCGCAACCCAGCGCTCAACCGCTGCTCCACCGGGGAGGCCCCTGTTTCATATTTTTGAGATAGGAATAGCATATCTTTAGTTTGCCACCTTTATAAGCTAAAGAATGCATTTATTACATACAGCAAATAACATGTATTACTTATATTAATATATGTATCCTCCTTCCATACTTAAAGAGATAGAAGCAATAGCAAAGGGGAGTTGTAATGGCAAAGGTAGAATTTGATGCACAGCAAGAAAAGAGAAAGGAGAAGAAAAAGGAAGAACCAGTGAGGAAAATTAGGGAGAATGGAGTGCAAGGACTGAGAGAAACAGGCAACAGGAGAAATAGGAGCAAATAAATAAGGGGTAGATGAAAAGAATAGTGAATAAAGAAAAAGTCCACAGGACAAAAGGGAGAAGCAAGCAAGCTGGGGGCAAAAGGAGAATACTGAGAAAGAAGGGGGCCTTATCAGATTGGCACTTAACTCTATTAGCATCAGTGTTGTTTTTATTTTAAATCATAAGGAAACTTTAACATTCATTTTTTTTAACTTGGAGTTTTTACATTATGTGGCTGCTCATGACTATAACTTTAATTGGAAAACTATATGCCATTAGCAGCATATCTTCCCCCTACAGCATATGAACCATATGAAAAACAATCTGGGAATATTTTCCAGAATAGTAATCTTTATATTCAATATTCCATAGCCTGTAGTCGTTTGCGAGCCCACCTTAAAACACGTGCTCTCTTTATTCTCTGTTTAGATTTGATTCTCCCACATTTTGATATCTTTGAAGAGGACACAACTTATTTCATCTCTTTTATGCTTGCCTCCCACAGCAGTGTTAATAAATAGAAAACAATAAATATTTCAATGAATAACTGAGAGTATTATGTATAAAAAATGAAGTGCTCAACACTAGCAGAAATGTGACATATGATAAAGTGGACATCTCATCTCACAAAAATGACATTGTCAATCAAGTATTCAATTTTCTTTCTATTCTATAATAAACTAAATCTTGGTATAGGTGCAGGGGAAACAAAGTAAAACATAGTTGCAGGCTTAAAAATTCAAATCCCTGTAGTTTCACCTCTTTTTTGTTCTGTGCCTCTAACTTCATCAACTAGCCTAACTACTTCATGCTCTGAATAGCAAAGGAAATAAATTTATTGTACATATATTCTATGTTATGGTAGAAAGTGAGAAAGTGACATAGATGAGACTGATGGACAGTCTCAGCAGGTTAACTAGGTTATTCATTCCAGGTATTCTGTGCTCCTTCTTCTCCAGGTGTGCTGATATGCCTTGCTCTAACTCAAATAATTATATTTGAATAGCTGTGTGCCTGAGCCCACCTTTCTTTTCTACTGGTATTCACCCATCTGAGTGTTTTTTTGTGGCATCAAATTAAGAAAGCATAAGGCTGTGTTCTCTAAATTTTCCAACAGACATCAAGTCCTGAAATTTTCCATCAAAGGGCACAAAAAAGAAAGGATATATTTAAATTGCTACACCATCAGAGTCTTTATCTTATTACTGAATTCCTATCCTGATTTGTGGGGTTTATTTTTAACTGATACTATACATGGCAGTTAAGCAGTATTTTCTGATAACATTGACATGTTAATATCTAGCTTGACTTTCTAAGATCAACTGCATTATCCACTAGTCAGTGCAAACACAACTACATTTTTATTTTTTAATTTTTTTATTTTTTTAATTTTTTTTTTTTTAATACCAAATGTATTTTATTTTATTTATATATATAAAACTTTGTTTTTTTAATTTTTTAATTTTTTTACATCATTGTTCTTTTTTATTTAAATATTTTATTTTATATAATTCTTACATCTTTTTTCATCTTTGCACAATGTAAGCATTTTCATTTTGGTTATATTCCCCATACAATTGCACCTCCCCCCTTATTTTGACTCTAGTCCTTCCTTTCCCTGCCTTCCCTCCCCCGCCACCTCCATAGTGTGTCTCTGGTTTATAGTTGCTTGTTGATTTTGATTTTTACTTTGTATTGATTAAGTCTTTTTCCTGGTCTCTTATTTAGGTTTTCTAAATTCCTGCTATGAGTGAGACTATCCAATATTTACATTTTTAAAGGCTTGTGGCTGGGTTGATAAATGACTTACCTAAGGCCAATTATTTTGATTTGTTTTAATCTCCTGGATTTATGGCCTGAGTGTCATTTCAATGACAGTTAAATGTAGTTATTTTGACAGATGAGTTTATCCCAATTTCTGTTATTATTAAGTAGTTCAAAGTTTTTGAACTGGCTCATTTGTCAGTTTTATGATGTACCTGGGTGTAATTTCATTTTGAATTAAGAATGCTTTCCTGCTTCATTTCCCATTGATCTCAGGTTCCATTTCATTACTGTCTTTAGAATGTAGCCAAGTGGGAGAGGTTAAGAAATGTTTCAGTTTAGAACCATAAATTTACACTGACTGTCATATTTAAATTTGCTTATATAAATACAGAACATCTGTGTAGCTAGTCAAATATTTATTTTTTCCTCTTCATCAGATGAGAAGAGAATATTTGCAAGCCTAGTGTGTGAAAAACACTGATCAACATTCTGTGTTAATTTTACAGGTGATGGAAGTCAAAGGGCAAATGATCCATGTCCCAGAATCTAACTCAGTTTTATTCCTGGGCTCTCCGTGTGTGGACAAGTTGGATGAACTTATGGGGCGAGGGCTGCATCTTTCCGACATTCCGATCCACGATGCCACCCGAGATGTCATTTTGGTTGGTGAACAGGCAAAAGCCCAAGACGGCTTGAAGAAGAGGATGGATAAATTAAAGGCAACTTTAGAAAGAACTCACCAGGCCCTGGAAGAAGAGAAAAAGAAAACTGTCGATCTTCTATATTCCATCTTCCCGGGCGACGTAGCCCAGCAGTTGTGGCAGGGACAGCAGGTGCAGGCTAGAAAGTTTGATGACGTTACCATGCTCTTCTCGGACATCGTGGGCTTCACGGCCATATGTGCCCAGTGCACCCCTATGCAGGTGATCAGCATGCTGAATGAACTGTACACCAGATTTGATCACCAGTGTGGATTTTTGGATATTTATAAGGTAAATGAGTTTATTTATTCTATATAAATACTTTATTTATTTTATTTTTAACATCATTATTCATTTTTAAACAATATTTGCTTCCCCCCACCCCCTCAGGTGTAGTCCCCATAGAATTTCCTTCACCAATACACCCGTGCACCATCACCTCAGTCCCCTGTGCTCCTCCCTCCCTCCCCCTGATCTCTCTCCCTCCTCCTCCCCTGCTGGATGTCTCTGATATATAATTGTCTGTTTTTGATTTGTTGTGTTTTGTACTGTTATTATTTTTAAACTGATGTCTTATTTGGTTCCCCTGTATGCCTGCTATAAATGAAGCCATCCAATATTTTTCTTTTTTCTTCTGACTTATTTCACTGATCATAATTCCTTCTAGCTCCATCCATGTTGCTGTGAATGGCATGAGTTTTTCTTTTTGATTGCTGAATAATATTCCATTGTGTATATGTACTTTTTGATAGTAAATATTGATCTTAATTAAATTGCAAGGATACAATTATTTTAGACTTCCTAGTAAAACATAGATAGCTCTCAATTGAGAAATTTTATATGTAGAATACAGATGTTTATGCTTTATGAATAAACTTGTATTACAATTGATTTATAAGATGAACATAGGTAACTGAATCATGACATTGCTCACTAAGAAAAAATTCTGTACAACTGGGCCTCTGAATTCATTGTCAAAATGTTAAACTGGCTCAAGTCTAAGTAAAATTTAACCATGTAATAAGTTTTTTTTAGAGATCAGGTTTCTAATGTAAACTAAGAATTTTATGTTAACAGTTAAAAAGAAGTGTTATGTTAAAAATGGATAGTTGAATCATGGTTAATCAGTATTTTGCACTGTATTGTTAACTAAGTGAATTCCCTTTAATTCCAAGTGAAAAAAAGTAAATATTCTAGTTATTGCCCAAATAATGATTTTTTTTAGTGAAAACACTTTAATTTTCCAACTGCATAATGAAAGATCTTTGAAAATGATTAATAGTCAACATTGTTGGGTCAGAGTTGCTGAACTACTTATTCATTTCTTGTTAAAATAAGCAATATTTTGAGTAATTCAGTCTCAATCTCTACCTAATGAATAACTCTAACCTTACATAGAATTCCATATGGATTGCAGTATCCTTTTTAATATGAAGGGCACCAGGTACTTTTAGTGTAAACAGTAGAGAACTGTAGCTTTTAATTTTCTTCTTTATTAATCCATCTAGAACACTACATTTTAATATGATCATAAACTGATTTGGATGTTCCACCTTATTATCCAGAGGGGTTTTCATTAAGGTGTATCTCCTTTAGTGAGAGGAGACACTATTATGTATATAGTACATAGCCATTGTTGATTAATTTAATGAGTCTCTTTTGAGGGGTGAACATTCAATGTGAAGTATATGTGTGTTGCTTTATTATATACAAAGCAAGTTTTCTTGTAAGTTATATTTTATAAGATTGGTAGAGGTAACTACATATCCTAAACCAGAGGAACACTACAGTGAGTCAATCACAGTTATACCCAGTTATTTCCAGAAAAGCAAGAAGATTGGCTTGAATTTGCCAGCACTCCAATTCCTCAGGCTCCAGCACAGCTGCACTAATCTGCCTGATCGCCCCTCTCCTGACCCTAACCTCTGACCTGCTTTTTTAGCTCCCTCCAGCTCAAGTGGTCTCAAGTTGGTTTTACCCTGAGTTCATACAAACTAAATGAGAATTACAAATAGGTAAGCAGATTCTTCTTTTGAAAAATAGGGGAATATCTAATTTAAATATAAGCATCAGTTAGGTTTTAAGAAATAGAGAAAATTCATGTCTTCTGAGGTTACCAAAAAACAATTTCAAGGTTTAAAACTTTAATTACATTTCACAGGCATCCCTTCCCTTGAGATAAGCTCAAAGTGAAAAAGAGAAAATCTGTGCGAATATCTCGCATGATCTTCATTTTCCTATATGTTATTAAACCAGCAGTATTTTACAATTATTTAGAAGTTTTAATGTCCAAAATGATCTTTTTCTTTTAACAGTACCCAAGATCATGCTTTCTATCTTTTGCACGTGTGTGTGTGTGTGTGTGTGTGTGTGTAATATTGAAAAATAAACAAAACAACTTTGAGTCACAAATTCTCTTAAACTTGCTTACAGAGTTTGAGCAATAGTTATAAAGTAATATGATTTTAGAGCAAAAGATTTTAAACTTTGATGCCAGTGTTTATGTGGATGTGTTTGGGCTAGGCATATAGGGCAGTTAACATTAAGTAAAAAGTCAACATAAATAATGTACTCTATATAATATTTTGCTTATGAGGTTTTATAGGGTATAGTGAATGAACAAAATAAAGAAGCAGTGACTCTGACTTTATAAGCCAGTGGAGATAATAGGAGTAGTGATAAGAGTAGTAGTGGTGGTAGTAGTAATGATGGCATTGGCTATTAAGGTAAGCAATAAGGGCTTGGCCTTACTTTATATTTTTGCCTCTTCAGCCCCATCATTTAAAAATAAGGGGGAAGCATGTAAAGGAGGAGTCCTCCCTGTTCTCCCCATTCCTTTCAGCCAAGGTGGTGTCAGTGCTATCTTAAATACACTCCTTAGTCTTTGTTTTCTCACCTTTAACTACTTTCTCACTTTACTCCAGTTCTGTAACCTATGAAAAGAATATACTAAATGTACCGACCTCACAGTGCTATTGCAAGCATTTCAGTGAGCTGATATGCAAAGAGCTTAAGCTAACACCTGGTAGATAATAGTAAATGTAAACATAAGCTTCCATTGTTATTTCTAAGCCAGGTATACCTAGGAATATGGGAATGTATGTGTAATTTGATTATTTGGTATATATGAAAATAACTGTAGTGTGCCCAGTGCTTATTAGGAAAGAATAAAATATGATCTTATTTACTTGTCATGACTAACCTGTGGAATTGTTGTTACACTGTCTCTGTTTTCAGATAAAGAAACTGAGTTTCAGAAAGATTAAATAACCCAGATCGTATAGGTTATAAATCATAATTTGAATCAATATATGTCTCATTATAAAACCTAAGCTTTCCCACAAAATAATGAAACAACAACAGTTCTTTTTTTTTTTTTTTTTTAAATCAGCTTGCTTGTGTAACTCTAGAAAATGTTAGTGATAAAATACTTTCCTCTGTAAGGGTGGGAGAAGCAAGGCATGCCATGGCAAGTTTCATTCTTGGTTTTCAAACATCAATGTAATTCAACATTGAATATCAGAATTAGGTTTGGAGAAAAGGGGAGAAAGGCAAAATGGGGGAACCAGAACTGCTGAGACCATCATTCTGTTAGATCAGACAATCTGATGCTGAGAATCTGAACAATATGAAGTTCCTATTCATAAGGAAGTTAAGTATTCTTGTCCTTGTGCAAAAGCTGAGTCCTGCAAAGTAAGAATGAACAGGAACGCAGAGTCACTCTAGGGCAAGATGAGGTGGTCAGAAATACCAGGACCAGACTTAGGGAAAGAGGATACATAGAAACCCTCTAAAGTGTAAGGGGAACCGAGTAACAACCTCATCAAAGGATATAGAGATGGCCACTGAATTTTTATCGGCTAATACAGAAGTTAGACTCACAGAGATGAGAAAGTTAGCAGGTTAGTCCTAATTCCTTCTTGAAAGTAAATATATTTGGGACTTCTTTTTGTCATTGATAAAATCTGAAAATTGATAGTATTTGAAAAGTACTACATTCCTTGCATTCTTTTGGAAATCTCAGAAAACCAATGGGAACACTGTGTTGATTTTTATAAGCTCCAAATCTACATAAATTAAAAGGGCTGGAATAACCCTCCAATTAAAAGGGTTAGAAAAACCATTAAGATCATTATGTTTTACTGAATACATATAAATAAATTGTTCTGCTTTAGTGTCCTAGTAAGTATTGGCTCTTACTAACTATTGCTCTTTAAGTACTTTGTGGAGGGAAAAACCTAAATACCCATGGTAACCAGGTTTATATGAAAAATTACCAATTGCTTTTTTAAAGTTTATTTTATGTATTTTTTACATCATTTCTCATTTTTGTACAATGTATGCATTTTCATCTTGGTTATCATCCCTGTAAAATTCCCACCCCCTTTGTTTTGATCCTACTCCCTTCTCCTCTCCCCCCCGTAGTGTATCTCTGCTTTATAGTTGTCTGTTGATTTTGATTTTTGATTAGTGTTATTATAATTAGTCTTTTTCCTGATCCCTTATTTAGGTTTTCTAAATTCCTGCTATGAGTGAGACCGTCTGGTACTTTTCTTTTTCTTTCTGGCTTATTTCACTGTACATGATCCCTTCCATCTCCATCCATGTTGCTGCAAATGGCATGAGTTTATCTTTTTTGATTGCTGAGTAATATTCCATTATTTATATGTACCACATCTTCTTGATCCAATCATCTATTTTTGGGCATTTAGGTTGTTTCCATAGCTTACTTATTATAAATAGTGCTGCAATAAACATAGGTGTGCTGGTGTCCTTTTGAATTCACCCAAAGCAGTGATAGTGAAGAAAAAGATAAACAGCTGGGCCTACATCAAATTAAAGAGCTTCTGTACAGTAAAAGAGACAGTAACCAAAACAAAGAGAGACCCTACTGACTGGGAGAAAATTGTGCACACAACGCTAATGACAAAGGACTGATCACAAAAATCTACAAAGAGCTGATGAGACTCAACAAAAACAAAGAAAATAACCCAGTCAATAAATGGGCAGAAGAGCTAAAAAGAAACTTCTGTAAAGAGGAAATGCAAATGGCCAACAGGTATATGAAAAAAATGTTCAGCATCACTTGTAATCAGGGAAATGCAAATCAAAACCACAGTGAGATACCATCTTACACCAGTGAGAATGGCACATATTAAAAAAACTAGCAACAACAAATGTTGGTGAGGATGTGGAGAAAAAGGAACTCTCCTGCAGTGCTGGTGGGAGTGCAAACTGGTCCAGCCACTGTGGAAAGCTGTGTGGAGGTTCCTCAATCTGCTAAAAATGGA